CTGCTCCCCCCCACCAGCTGACGCACTGAACCTCACCGTGCCGTCCTCACCACTGTTATACACAAATTAACAATTCCTTACTTTACCTTTCATTTTTTTGAAATAAAAGTGGCATTTACTATTACTAGTAATAAAAATAAACAAGAGGTAAATTTCAAGTGTATACGAACTTACGTCTCGCATGTGAAATGTTCGGGGTGGTGTTCGGCGAGCCGCTTGCCGAGCGCGACGAGCCTGTGCGCGCGCACCTTGTCCTCCAGCTCCGGCTCGCTCGTGAAACACGACGCGGCGATACTCGACGGACTGCTATAAAGAACATAACATAATTTAGAAACACTTTTAACTATTTTAAGATCAATTTAGGTCAATTTAGGCAATTTCTTAACAAGTTAACTCTAAATGAGTTATTATTGTCATATATGTTTATTTTGTTATTTTCGAAATCTTTCGAAAATTTTGCGAAATCCGATGACTCAAGCAACCAGTGGTCAGGGCTGCAGAGACAGGAACCTCCTCACTAGTCGTGCGGTTTCTAAAATAACCGCCTTTTGAATCGAGCCCTTAATCCAACTGTCTAGCGAGAGCTTCTTGAGGTGTTGGTCGAAGCTCTTCGCTGTTAACTCGTGCAACAAAACGACTATCAGAATAATGGTAGTCGATTTCATACGCCACATGGCGGTAACTAGGTAACCAGATCTAAATATTGCAATAATTTTTCTTTTTCAGCTTTCACGAGATTCTCGTCATATGGGATAGTGACATCGACTAACATTACACAACTCTCAGACCGATCTTTTATTACTATATCAGGCCTATTGGCAGCAGTCCGTAATAATAGATCGATCCCAGAGAGTGATACGGTTATTTTCCAGGACTGGTGAAGGCTGATATTACTAATATGTAATTATTATTATTAAATAAGGTATAACAACCCACCCCGTGTCACCATCTTGCCCTGTATCGATGTCGGGCAGCCGGCCGCCATAAGTATCCCAAGTTGTGTGGTATGAGAACTTCAGTCCTTGGAACGCCTCCTCCAGCGGCAGGAAGCCGTGCAACTCCTCGTCTTCAGGCAGGGGCACAGTATCGTCTATATAAATGTTTACATTAATTGTATTATCTTAATATTATAAATTAATGGATAGATGTTTGTTAGAGTTTATCTTTGCTGAATAGTCTGGAAGAACACATACTTCTGGTTTTTTATTTCAAATTCACGCGGTCAGAGTCGCGGGCGAAAGGTATACTAATATAGTGAAGAAGAAAGTTTTATATTTTGTATGTATTAATATAACTCCAAAAACTACTGGGCTGGTTAAAAAACACCATTAAAAAGCTACGTTATAAGTGAATACCATAGGCTATATTTTTTTTTAATTCCACGCAGGCGAAGTCGAACAGCTAGCTAAAAAAAGGTGTAAAAGTGACAGAGTATAGGACTGACAGAGGTCCTTGGGCAGCGCGGCGGCTCGCGGCAGCAGCGCGGAGAGCGTGTGCGCGAGCGCGGGCCACAGCTGCGGCCGCGCGCGCCACGCCGCGCCGCGCAGCCCCGCCCACTGCAGCCACACCTTCACTGCACACGCAATGTACACTAACATTATACTACAAACACTATTACAACTTTAATTTTAGTCCACATTCTCTTATATTTGCAATTGCAAATGTCAAAATGACATGACATGATGGCAACCTTGCTTCCTTAATGTTGGCAGCAACTTATGGTCTCTTTCCTACATAAGTTTTTATCCAAAATATTAACCCCCCTAAGTTTAATGGCGTAAAAATATATAGCCTAAACCGTGATGTAAGTGTAGGGCTTTTTATTAAAATAAAGAATTATTCAAAAATATGCTGTAATTGCTGACGTCTTAGGCAACAAAGAAGTTTGTGTTTACACTTTATTATAATAGCATAGATGAGAACAAAAAACGAAGATGACGGTGCAGCGTAAATATCGCAATCGGAAATATCCTCTTTGTGAGTATCCCCAAGAAGGAATGTCTAAGAGCAATGGTTGCTTAAGTATTCCTTTTTTTTTTCATTAAATCTTACTAATATTATTAATTCAAAAGTTTAGATGGATGGATGTTTGTTAGAGTGTGTGGCCTACACGGTTGAATGATTTTCAATGAAATTTGGCATAGATGTAGAGCATAGTATTGAAGAAGGCATAGGCTACTGACTATTCATCATCCACTTGCCCTTATCCCTTATGGAGGGTCGGCACAGTATGTGCTGCTCTTCCATACATCTCTATCAGCCGTCATATCT